GGAGGCCTCCTGGGGGCCTCCTGGGCCGTCTTGGGCCATCTTGAGGCCATCTTGGGCCGTTTTGGAGGCGTCTTGGGCCGTCTTGCCTCTTGGGGGCCTCCTGGGCCGTCTCGGGCCGTGTTGAGGCCATCTTGGGTCATCTTGGAGGCGTGCTGGGCGGACTTGGAGACATCTTCGACCCTCTTTGGCCGTCTTGGAGGCCATCTCGGACCATCGTAGGCGAATTTGGAGGCCATCTTGAACCATCTGAGCCATCTTGGATGGCTTCGTGACCCGTCTTGGAATGTTTTTCCGCTTTGGGGGTCCCTTCCGGGTGGCCGGCGGGACGGGCCGAAGCCCCAGTTAAAAGAAGCCAAACCAAATTGTCTGTCGGAAGGCCAGACAGGAAGATTATCCATCTTGTCTCCGAGGTCCTCGAGGCTGAAGGGAGCAGTGAATTCTTCCCTGGCCGCAGAGACAATGGCTTTCTCTCAGTGTGTTGGCGAGACCGAATGGTTCTCCTCGTTATTCAGAGAAGCTGCTTTCGATGAACGCCCCACTCTAGGTAGGAAGTCATGCGCTGGGGCCACGGTCTGCTTCGTCAAGGCCGAGTCGGCGCTTCGACCTGCGAGCAAGGGAGGAGGAACAGTCAGGGTCGTCGATGCGAAATCCGTGTTCGATTCGCTCGTCACGTGCACTGCAGGGAGGAAGGAGGACAGGAGGGCAGCTATCGACCTGGCAATCCTCAAGGATGCCATGGGGAAGGACGGATCGATCGTGAAGTGGGTACCCCATCCGTTCAACCCATCAGATCCTCTTACGTAGATGAAGGCGCGAAGGGGAGGGCTGCTTTGGCCCATCTCCTCAAGACTGGGAGGATTCACCTGAAGGACCCCGGCCAGGAGCTCCTGGCTAGGGCTGCAGGGAGAGTGTCGAAGAACAAGAGTAGAGGCACCGGAGGAAGGAGAGAGGAAACGAGAAAAGAAAGAAGAAAACAGGAGAAGAGGGTGACGCCTGAGTAGACAGGAGCTGGACCATGCTCTCATTCTTCCAGATTCCCCCAGTGTAGTAGAGCGAGCGTTGTCATTGGTGGAGGGGTTTCTTACACAGCCGGGATCAGACGAGCCAGCACCGACAACAAGCCGGGGGCGCTGTTGTATTCTGACTTGGTTCGGTCCTAGCATCCCGTGTCTAGACAATAGGTTTTTTTTTTTTTGTGACCGTGTTCGGCACAAGCGTGGGGATGTTGTCTTGTGTGTATGATTGAAAGCCGTTCACTTCACTCCAGACTGCTGCGCAGTTTTCCGCCATGGCCAACGCACCATGGCTCTCCACAGCGAGCGGTGTCGTAAGAAGCTCTGAACAGCAAGGCTCCCGAGAGCGCGGTGACGAAAGAGCTCTGAACAGCAAGGCTCCCAAGAGCGAGCGGCAACGTAAAAGTGTCTGAACACCAGGGTTCCCAACAGAGGGGGGTAACGCAACAAGCTCTTCACGCCAAGGCTCCCCAGAGCGAAAGGTGTCACGAACCCTCTCGGGCAAACTCCTGCAGCGCTCTTTCCGTTCCCGTGCTCTGATGGCCTTCGGCCCTTCCTTCCACCGTGCTTGGTTTGAGGATCTGAGGCCTCTTGGATGTTCGTTGGGATCTCGTCGAGGCCTCTCGGGGGCTTGTTGTAGACAGTTTTGAGGCTTCTGGGGGGCTGTTTTGGGGCCTCCTGGCAGACTCTTGAGGCCCTCGTGGTGCCTCGTGGGGGCCACGGGGGCCTCTTGGGGCTTCTTGGGGGGTCTCTTTGGGACCTCTTGGGGGCATCTTGGGGAGCTCTAGGAGCGTTCAGGGCGACGCTTGGGGCGAAGAACTCGACATGTAGGTTCGTGTGCTTCCCGTTGGGGCCCTCACGGAGCCGTCTCGGGCTCCTCTCTCTTGGAACTTTTGGAGGCCTCTTGGGCTGTCTTGGGGGTCACTTGGGCCGTCTCGGCACCCTTCTGCGGGCCTCTGAGGCTGTCTTGGGGCGATATTTGGGGCCTCTTGGGCTGTCTTGGAGCGTCCAAAAGTCGCAAAGGCAGAAACGCGAACATCCTGAAATAACCTATGGGGATTCAGTGGATTGTGCTTCTTAGGGCCCTCTTGGAAGTGCTCTTGGAGGCCTCTTGGGGCGTCTTGGGAGTCTCTTCGGCAGTCTGGAAACCATCTTGGGCGTATTGGAGCGTTCTTTCGGCGAGTCTGGGCTTTCTTCGAATGTGTGGGTGGCCTCCAGGGGCTTTGCTGACCTGCTTTGGGGCCCTCCTGGGCGAGGGGGCCGTCCTGGAGGTCCACGGAACCCGCCCCAGCGGTGCCTGGGAGCGCCTGGGAAATATCGGGGGTTGGGGCCCTGAGGAACCCAACGAAAGAACTTTGCAAAGCCTGTCCATCTCAGGGCTGCATGAGCCTTGGGGCACTCCTGCGTGCTGTAGGATGGAACCATCTGGATGCGGCCCCTACGTGCCTCTTCAGAGGCATAGAAAGACTAGAACTAGTAGCCTTCGTCCATCCCGCCACCGTGCCTGGGTTGTGGGTATATAGCCTACTAGATGTTCGTTGGGATCTCGTGGGGGTGGGGCGTCTCTGGGGCCTCTTGGAGGCAGTTTCGAGTGCTTTGGGGGGCCGTTTTGGGGCCACTTGGGGCCTCTTTTGAGCCTCTTGGGGGGCCTCTTGGGGCCTCTTGGGCGCCTCTTGGGCGCCTCTGGGGCCCTGCCGGGGACCTCTTGGGTCCCTCTCTCTTGGGCCGTGGTGGGCTCTTGAACCGTCATGGGGCGCTCATAGTCCATCTTGGGGCCCTCAGGGAGGCCTCTTGGACCGCCTTGGGGTGGTCTTTGGAGCCTCTTGGGCCGTGGGGGCATCGGGAAACAGACAAGGCGAGAACGCCAAACTCCTTACACCGAAAGATGATCCATGATTTTTGCCTCTCTGGGCCCTCTTTGGGAGGCCTCTCGGAGGCTTCTTGGGGCGTCTTCGAGGCCTCTTAGGCCATCTCGAGGCCATCTCGGGCGTCTTGGAACGATCTTTCGGCGACGCGAGGCCCTCTTGGACCGTCTCCGGGGCCTCGTGGGGCCCTCTTTCAGGAGGGGAAAAAACACACAGACACAACTAATCGTCGATTCCCAGAGAAAGATGGGAACATATGGGAAGTGGGGGGGAAGACCGAAACCCCGAAAATATAGGAAAATATGGGGAATCCTTTTATTTGTGCGTATTTATTGCGAAGGCCTTACGGCCGGTGCCGCCGACCCTGAATGGCGACGACGACGACGACGACGAGCGCTCTTGGGGGCCTCTTGGGGGTGGTTTGTGGGCCTCTTGTGCGCATTTATTTGTGTGTCTCAGGGCCCCTTCACTCTTGGCCTGTCTGGGGGCCCTCCTGGGCCCGAACACGCTGCGCGACGAGAGATGCGGGGAGCCCCAGGGGGCACGCGGGAAGCCCCCCGGGAGCAGGAGGAGGAGGAGGAGGAGGAGGAGGAGGAGGAGGAGGAGGAGGAGGAGGAGGAGGAGGAGGAGGAGGACGCGCCAAGCTCTGGGATTTGAGACTTTGGGGCCCAGGCCCCTTACGACTCCCAGGGTCGGGCAGAGGACCTGAGGACGCGCCCACTCCGTGCCCAGCGGCGCGGTGGCGGACGTCAGTTGGGAAGCAGGGTCGGGGTCAATGGCGAGGGGGGAAGAAGCTGGGAGTGGGATCCGGAGTACAGTCGGGGCCCTGAGGAAGGAACCCTTTTCGTTGGGGAGGGGCTCGGTGTTCCTTGGTTGTTTTGCAGTTCGCATTTGGTTTTCCGTAGGTTTTCGATGGGAAATCGAAGTTTAATTCATGGGAAAAAGGGGCCTCGTTCCTTATTTAGGATTCCTTAGGTCAACGCCCCGACTGTAGGGGGAGGAGGGGGAGGCAGCTGCGGCTGTCATTCTCTGTCTGGCTTGCGGGTCTTGGTGGCGCTGCCATGGGCCAACCTCTGTAGGAGTGGAGAGCGGGTTTTGAAGCGAGCTGTGCCAGGGGTCACAAGAGAGGGGGGCAAGAAGGAAATGACGAGGAGGAGGAGGCGGGGGGGCCAGCGGGGGACGGAGCAGAGAGGGAGGGGTATGATGGATGAGGGAGGGCGGGGGTAGGAGGAGGATGAGGACGGAGGACGGGAAGGGATGAGTGATGAGGAGGGGTGTGCGAATGCATGTGCTGAGCCTGTAGAAGCTTGGCCCAGTGGGACTCGGTCGAACATCGTCTGGAATCAGACCCAGGCGGCGGCGAAGAGGCTTGTGTTGGCCCCTGGTCTGAAATAAACGAATACAGCGCGTATGTTTGAGGGCGTATGAGTAATGTGGAGTTCCGTGCTATGCATGTATTGCAATTCACAGCATAGCGTAGCAGTCTATGCCATAGCGCCGCTTAGCAGATCATGGCCTGACAGCGTAGTAGACTGCATGACGGAGCATTGCATCGTGTAGTTCGGCATGGCAAGGCGTAGCGCACACTCGCGCAGCTTCGAATCGCTTAACGTGTCGCAGCATGGAGTTGAATACCAGTGCACATCGTAGCATCTCGCATCACATCAGCACGGCGCTGCATACGCCAGCATGGCATAGCATTGCTTTTGCATTACATAGTTTGTCGCATCACGGCTCAATGCAGCAATCCACAACACAGCATGGTTGAGCGTAACAACGTACGAGCAGGAGCTGACGTCCAGGCCAGGTGAAGTTCCCCCCTACAATGTACGCCGGGCAGCAAGGTTCTTCTCATCGCAAATAAGTCGTTCGACTAATTTGTTTTGGTGCAGATCTCTGCTGAAGCAGACACCTTCTTGGTTTGGACTGCACGCTTTCACCCCTTACCCTCCCCTTGCTCTCCCTTCTCTTCCTTCCCCTCCTCTTCTTCCCTTCCCCCCTCCTTGCCCGCTCTGCCCCTCCCGCATCGCCCCCAGTTCACTCTCCTCTTCTCCCCGCGTGACTCTAACAGTCTGTAATCAAGGCGAGGTCCGTCAAGCTTCCGAGCCCCACTCCGCCGCAGGTCGCCATGCAGGATATCGCCTTCAACGGCGAATCCATAAACATCTGTGGATCTGGTTGCCAGGCCGCGGCACCTACCCCGCTTTTAGTCTGACTCGCTATCTATATCCCCCTTCCTCTTCCTACCCCTCCCGTCAAATGCAAATCTAGGGGGTGATCGGCCTATATACCTAACGATTGTGTTATCTATGCTTCTCGATGTGCAATTCGATGCTCCTTTCGATTCCATGCCCACTGCGATGTGCAGGCATACTTACACATCGAGTTGATTGCGCATTTTGATGGGCATTCCGATTTGCATTTAGATTTTTCATTTTGATTGCAGTCAATTTCGATTGTCGATTCGGTTTCAGATGTGCATTTCGACTTACACGTTGATGGCACGTATATTGGCATTTCGATGTACACCCTGATTGCCATTGGAACAGTATTCCAATGTTCATATTCTACTGGACAGTTGACGCCGAAAACCACGGGAGAAGTCGCGGGACAACCCACTGAACCATCCGCGCGACAATCCACGGGACAAACCTTCGGGACAACCCACGGGATAAGTTGCGGGACAATCACAGAACAGCACACGGGACAACCGCGGGACAACCCGTTTGGCAACCGTGGGACAACCGCGGCAAATAATCGCGCAACGGGAAGAGACATTTGTGGTACGACTTGGGCCCTAGCTTCGCTGGCACATCGTCCTCCTCGCACAGCCTCGCCCCGCCCTTTACACGCGACGCCCACGGACCGAAGCCGAAACCGAGTTCCCCGTAGGGGACACCTCGTGCTTACCACCCAGCCTCCGACTGAGCGAGCTCATTTACTCTCTGGATCCAGTGCCGCTGCCTGAGGCAGCACGCGTGGCGCCCGCCCTGAGCACCGCCTTCTTGTGTGCTGGGCCAGCCATGCCGCGGTGCTGCCGGCCCTACCAGACAGGCAAGTCGCGCGTACGACGGTGCCGATGCAGCCCGATCCGACGCACGTTTCGATCTGATCCGATTTCCCGAGGTGGTGATTTGTCCACAACCACTGCCTGGGGAATCGATCTTTGGGGACCTTGGCAGGCGGTGTGTATGGGCATATTTCAGGCAGGCCCAGTGTGTTCGGATAAATCGCTCCAGAGCGTGTCACAACTCTCCCAGATCGCGCCGGAGCGCTCTGAAACGGCCGTGTCGCGTGAAGGACGCTCTCCAGACCCGCCAACTCTCAGAGATTCTCGCTCTCTTCCCATGCAGATTGATTCTCATCCTGGCTTCGTCTTACTGTTCGGGCCTCGCGGGTTTGTCAGTTCGATGCTGCTCCTGCCTGCGAGGCCTGCGCAGGCGGGGGCCGCCCACCAGCCATGGGCGCAAGCGTCCTCTCGGGGCGCGTGGGCGTGCACTTCCCCTCGCGGGCATTCCATTCCATTCCCTCCTCCTCCTCGATCCTTCTCATCCTTCTCGATCCTCCTCGATCATCATCGATCTTTCTCGATCCTCCTCGATCCTCCTCGGTCCTCCTCGATCCTCCTCGATCCTCCAGGGGGGGGGCCGCAGCGCCCCACTGGGAAGTGGACGATTGAACAAATGTTCCCGGCTCACCGTCGCCGTTGTTGCCGTCGATGCCGCCAGGCCGCAGGCAGCGACCTGGATGAGAAGCACCCAGACGCTGGGGTGTTAACAATAAGTTCTAAATTTATGAACTTAGACTTACGATCCAGACGGCAGAAGTAAGAATTCTAGACGCTTCGCGTATCCCCACCAGCCCGTCCAGAAATGAGTCCCTGGGGAGTGGAGGTTATGAGGGAAGCGGGGGAGCATGCAGAAGAACAAAGGGCGGGGTGAGCCGCCATATACCCCAAGAGGGGGAGGATGTAGGAGGAGCCGTCGTCGTCGGAGTAGGAGGAGCCGTCGGTCGTCGCGTAGGAGGAGGTAAGAGGAGGAGAAGGGAGAGGAGCAGGGGAGGAGGAGGAGGAGGGAAGAACGGAGGAGGAGGAGATGGAGGACTGCGAGGACGAGGAGAACGAGAAGGGAGGGGAAAAGAGAAGAGGAGGAGGAGGAGGAGGAGGAGGGGGAGGGGGAGGAGGAGGAGGAAGAAAAAGAGGAGGAGGAGGAGGAGGAGGACAATTTGCGAGCCTTGGGCCTTTGGGCCGTCCTTGGGCCTCTTGGCGGTCCCGGGGGCCTCTTGCGTATGCTCTGGGAGCCTCTTGTGCACTCTTGTCTCTTTTTTTTCTTTTTCCTCTTTTTTGTTCCCGGTCGGTCTTCAATCTTTCTCCGTATGTCCTTTTTTTTCTTCTCTTTTTATGGGGTTCGTTTCCTGGTTCCTTGAGTTATTTCTTGTTTTCCGTTTTCTTTCTTTTTTTCTTTTGTCCTTATTTATTTGTTTTTCTTGGGGGTCTCTTGGGGGCCTCTGGGAGGCCTCTTGGGGGCCTCTTGGGGCCTCTTGGGGCCCTCTTGGGGCGCTCTTGGGGCGCTCTTGGGAGCCTTCGAGGCGCTCTTGGGGCCATCTTGGAGGAGATCTATCAAAGAAGGGGGGGTCCCCAATTAGCGCTGCCCCTCTAGAGTGCCTCGAGTCGCCTCTTGGGCGCCCCCAAGAGGCCAAAATCCTTCCAAAACCTAGGTCAAATCATTTTTTTTTGTTTTCTCGCCTCTTCGCTCTTGGACCCGTCTTGGGAGCCTCTTGTGGCCTCTTGGGGGTCTCTTGGGGGCCTCTTGGAGACCTCATGGGGGCCTTTTGGGGCCTCTTGGGGCTCTCTTGGGGCGCTCTTGGGGCGCTCTTGGGAGCCTTCGAGGCGCTCTTGGGGCCATCTTGGAGGAGATCTATCAAAGAAGGGGGGTTCCCCAATTAGCGCTGCCCCTCTAGAGTGCCTCGAGTCGCCTCTTGGGCGCCCCAAGAGGCCAAAATCCTTCCAAAACCTAGGTAAAATCAATGTTTGTTGCTTTCTCGCCTTTTCGCTCTTTGAGCCGTCTTGGGTCATCTTGGACTCTCTTGGGGCCTCTTGGGGGTCTCTTGGCAACGTCTTGGAGGCTTCTTGGGGGCCTCTTGGGGTCTCTTGGGGCCCTCTTGAGGCGCTCTTGGGGCGCTCTTGGGAGCCTTCGGGGCGCTCTTTGGGCCATCTTGGAGGAGATCTATCAAAGAAGGGGGGGTTGCTTATTAGCCCCGCCCCTCCAGAGTGCCTCGAGTCGCCTCTTGGGCCCCCCCAAGATGCCAAAATCCTTCCAACACCTACACCGGGAATTTTAATTAAGAAAACTTTAACCTAAGAAAACAGACTCTGGAAACCCCGTTTTCTTAACCCGCGGTCTGGGTCTGGATCTACAGAAACCCCGGGCTATAGAGATCAATACATGATAGCATAAAACATCATTTAATAAAATAATATATTAGAATACCCAAGCGCCACAAACAGCGAATATGACAACCGAAAATCCGCAAACAACCAATTCGAACACAAAAACGCCGCAAACAACAAATTTGAACACCAAAACGTTGCAAACAACATATTTCAGCACAGAAGCGCTGTAAACAGCATGAACACCGAAACGGAGCAAACGGCAAATTTGACATCAGGAACGCCGCAAACAGCAAATGTGAGCACCGAAACGCTGCAAACGGCAAATTTGAGCACGGAAACGCCGCAGATGGCGGCAAATTTGACAACCGAAATGCAGCAAGCAGCAAATAAGAGCAGCGAGGCGCGCAACAAAACAAAAAAATGCACACCGAAAACGCCGCAAACGGCACATTAGAACACCGAAGCGCCGCAAACAACAATTTCGCACACCGAAACGCAGCAAACGAACCTATCAGCACCGAAACGTCGCAATCAACAGATTTCAGCATCGAAATGCAGTAAACAGCACATTAGAGCACGGAAACGCAACAAATAGCAAATTCGACAACCGAACTCCGCAAACAGCGAATTTAAGCTTCAAAACGCTAGAAATTCCTTTCTTAGAATTTTCTTTTATAGAATTATTTTTGTTTTTTTATTTATCTTTTTTTATTTATTTTTTTTTTCTTTTTTCTTTTTTAGTTGAGTAGATTAGTTTTAGAATTTGCTTTTTTTTCTTAGAAATAGAATTTTTTTTAGACTTTTTTCTTTTAGATTAGATTTTTAGAAATAGTAGTTTTAAATTTAGTTTAGGTAGAATTTTTTAGAATTTTGTTTCGTTTTTTTTATTTTAGATGTTTTTTTTAGGATTAAAATTCCGAATTTGAGTACCAAAATGCCACAAAGAACACATTTGAGCACCGAAATGCCGCAAACAGCACATTCGAACACTGAAACGCTGCAAGAGCAAATTTGAGCACCGAAACGCCACAAACAGCACTTTTCAGCACCGAAACGCCGCAAACAGCAAATTTGAGCACCGAGGCGGCGGAAACAGCATCAGAACCGAAACGCAGCAGGCGGCGCATCCGACCACCGAAACGCCGCAAGCAATAAATTTTGGCACCGAAACGCCGCAAACAGCGAATTTGAGCACCGAAACGCTACAAACAGCAAATTCGAGCACGAGGACGCCGCGACCAGCAAATTTGAACACCAAAACGCCGCTAACGGCACAATTGAGCACCGAAACGCCACGACCAGCAAATTTAAGCACCGAAACGTGGGAAACAGCAAATTTGAATACCAAAACGCCGCAAACAACAAATTTGACAACTGAAACGCCACAAACAACAATTTGAGCACCGAAACACCGCAGACACCAAATTTGTGCACCAAAGCGCGCAAACCGCAAATTTGAGCGTCGGAACAACAGAAATGGCACATCCGAGCGCCGAAACGCTACAAACAGCAAATTGAAACACGCAAACGCCGCAAACAACAAATTTGAGCACCGAAACGCCGTGAACAGCAAATTTGAGCACGGAAACGCCGGAAACAGCTAATTTAATAATGAAAAATCCGCAGAAAACCCATTCAAACACCAAAACGCGAAAAACAACGAGTTTGAGCACCCGAACGCCCGCAAACGGCAAATTTAAGGACCGAAACGCAACGAACTCGCCGGCCTAAGGCTTGTCGAAAATCCATCCTGAAAACTTGCTGGGTTGAGGCTCGTCGAAAATCCGTCGTGA